GAGGAGTGGGCTGCTCCGAGGAGCTCCGGGAAGGCAGCCTGCTCCAGCCACGGTGGCGATGGCAAGCGCCGCGGCAGGACTTCTTCTGAAAAGAAGCCGGTCGACCCCAACGCCTGTCGACGCTGCGGGAAGATGGGCCATTGGGCACGGGAGTGCCCAAACCGCAAGCAGGAGAAGAAGACTGGGGCTCATCTGGCGAAAGCCGATGATGAGGATGATGCCCATCGTTCGATGGCGATTACGTACAATCGCATTGCACGCCGAGACCGAGGAGAGGGTGGAGGTGATGGCGGTGGAAGGATATGGGAAGGCCCTGAAGGCTGTCAACATCTACAAACCGCGCGCCCAAGTCCACCTTGGACGTATGGGCGCCGACTAGGAGCAGCGGTGGTATCTGGACTCTGGTGCCAGTAACCACATGACGGGCTCCAAGGAAGCCTTCTCCGAGCTCGACGACGATGTTACCGGTACGGTGAAGTTTGGTGACGGCTCAAGGGTGGCAATTCAAGGGCGCGGCACCATCATCTTCAGGAACGGGGAGCACCGCGCGCTAACGGATGTATATTACCTCCCGCAGCTGCGCTCGAGCATCATCAGCATTGGCCAGCTGGATGAGCGCGGTAGCGAGGTTCTGATCATGGACGGTGTCCTTCGGATCGTGGACCGGGGGCGAGACTTCTTGCCAAGGTGAAGAGGTTCCAGAGCGGTTGTACCTTTCGACCGAAGGTAGAAGAGTACCGCAGTTCTGGCGGCAAGGCATCTGAGGAAGCGATGGTCGTGGCATGCCCGGTTCGGACATCTCACTTCGACGCGCTTTGGTCGGTGGAGAAGATGGTCCGAGGGCTACCCCACATCGCGCGACGGAGGCGGTATGTGCAAATTACTGGCCGGGAAGCGAAGGAGGTTGCCGTTCCCACAGCGGCAGCAAAATATCGCGCAGCGTCGGACGCTCTCAAGCTCGTCCACGGCGATCTCTGCGGCCGATCACGCCGACTTCAAAGCGGTGGTCGGCGGTACTTCCTCCCGCCGTGGATGATTGCGGTCGCTACATGTGTCGCAACTCCCGACGAGCAGCAAGGACGGCGGCGGCGATCGATCAGAAGTTCAAGGCAGCGGAGGCCGAGAGCGGCAAGAAGCTTCGCACGCTAAGGACCGATCGCGGCGGCGAATTCACTTCGGTGGAGTTCACTGCGATCATTGCGTGAACGGTGTGGCGCGACACCACACCGCTACCGTATTCGCCACATGAGAATGGCGTGGTGGAGCGACGGAACCAAGCGGTGGTCGGCATGGCTCGATCCATGATGAAGGCGAAGGAATGCCGACAAGGTTTTGGGGAGGCGGTGACCACGGCGGTGTTCATCCTCAACAGCGCTTCCGACCAAAGCCACGATGGGCAAGACGCCGTTCGAGGCTTGGTATGGGCGGAAGCCGAAGCGTGTCCTTCCTCCGGACATTGGTCGCATCGCATCGGCCACGTCAAGAAGACGGGCCGAACCTCACCAAGTTGGAGGATGTGAGCACACCGATGGTGTTCCTGGGCTACGCGGAGGGTACCAAGGCGTACCGACTCTACGACCCACGCGGAGACAAGGTGCTTGTCCCGCGCGACGTCGTGTTCGACGAGAAGGCCGTTTGGGACTGGAGCAGTCCCAGCACGGGGGAAGCTGGTGACTTCACCAGCACCTTCGTCGTCGAGCACTTGGTCATCCACGGGAGTGGAGACGCTGGGAAGAGGTGTCGAGCACTCCGGGAGGAGCGCCGAGCCCCTCGGCGGAGAGCCGAAGCACTCTGGCAAAGGCTGAGCACTTCGGAGGGATGCCGAAAGCACGCCAGAGTGGTTGGGGAGGTTCTGCAGATGGCGGCGACCACTTTAGGACGGGTGCCGAAGCACTCCCATGGCGGAGTTAAGACATCTTGTAGTGGTGCCGACCACTCCAAGATCGAGGTCGAAGCACTCTGCTGCGATCGTGCCAAGCAACTCGCAGAGTTGAGACGAAGTTGTCCGGTGCTCTACCGAGCACTCAGTCGGAACAGGGAACTTCATCGATACCGATCGAGTTCGCCTCACCTCCAAGTGACATCACTGAGTTTATGGACGCCTACCACGAAGGTGAGGAGGTGCGGTTCCGCAGGCTGGACAACATCGGCAGCGGCACAGGTCCCTCAGGCTTGGCGGGAAGGCTGCTCAACGACCCAGAGCTGCTACTCGTCAGTGCTGAGGAACCACCCACATTCGCGCTAGCCGAGCGCGATGGAAACTGGCGGCGGGCGATGCTGGAGAAGATGAAGGCGATCTAGGAAAACGAGACTTGGCAGCTCGTCGATCCACCTCCAGAATGCCGTTCGATCAGCCTGAAGTGGGTGTACAAGGTCAAACGGGACGAGCACGGCGCTGTTGTTAAGTACAAGGCGCGCCTCGTGGCCCGAGGCTTTGTACAGCGCGAGGGCATCGACTTCGAGGAATTCTTTGCGCCGGTAGCGCGCATGGAGTTGGTCCGTTTGCTACTAGCCTTGGCAGCAGCAAAGGACTAGCGCGTCCATCATCTGGACGTTAAATCGACCTTCCTCAACGACGAGCTGGCGGAAACGGTCTTCGTCAGGCAACCCCCAGGCTTCGCCGTCAAGGGAGAGGAGCACACGGTGCTCCGACTGCGCAAGGCGCTCTACGGGCTGCGGCAGGCCCCACGAGCATGGAACGCCAAGCTTGACGCCACGCTGGGCGAGGTTGGGTTCACAAGGTGCGCAACCGAGCACACGCTCTACACACGGCGACGGGGGAAGGAAGATCTCGTCGTCGGCGTGTATGTGGAGTCGATCGTCACCGGCGCGCGTGCGGAGGACATCAGCAGCTTGAAGCACGAGATGGCGGCTCGTTTTCGAATGAGCGATCTCGGGGCGCTCACCTACTACCTCGGTATCGAGGTGAGACAAGGGAGGGAGGCACTCACGCTCGGGCAGAGCGCGTACGCTTCTAAGCTGTTGGAGCGGAGCGGTATGGCTGAGTGCAAGCCATGCATGACTCCAATGAAGGAGCGGCTGAAGATAACGAAGGCCAGCACCGCGGCGAATGTGGATGCAACACTCTACCAGAGCATCGTCGGCGGTCTGCGCTACCTAGTCCACACGAGGCCGGACATCGCGTTCGCCGTGGGCTACGTCAGTCGCTTCATGGAGGATCACAGAGAGGATCACTGGGCTGCAGTGAAGCGGCTACTACGCTACATCAAGGGGACGATGGATCACGGGATCGTCTTTCCCAAGACCGGCGGGAGTAGGCTGCAGCTCACTGTCTTCAGCGATGCAGACATGGCGGGGGACATCGACGGACGACGGAGCACCTCTGGTGTGCTCGTCTTCCTCGGGTCGGCTCCAATATCATGGCTATCACTGAAACAGAAGGTGGTGGCGCTTTCTACGTGCGATGCAGAGTACGTAGCGGCGGCCACAGCGGCGTGCCAAGTTGTGTGGCTACGCCGGCTGCTGGGCGAGCTGACCGGCGTGGAAGCTCACCTACCAGCACTGATGGTGGACAACCAGCCCGCCATCGCCCTCGCAAAGAATCCGGTTCTGCACGACCGGAGTAAATACATCGACGTGAAGTTCCACTTCCTCAGGGACTGTGTTGATGGAGGGCAGATCGTCATCAAGTTTGTCGAAACAGGTCGGAAACTCACGGACGTCCTCACCAAGCCGCTCGGACGTCTTCGACTCACGGAGTTGAAGGAGATGATCGGCATGCAGGGGGTACAAGGGTTAGCAGTAGGATTAGGGAGAGATTGTTAGATAATCCACTGCTACCTTGTGTGAACATAGCAAGGGAAGACGACGCCGAAAAGGGCTCCCTGCTGTGATACTGTAGCCGCTGCAGGTGCGGGCGCCGCACGGCTCACCTGCAGCACTGTAGACACATGCAGTGGCCGGCGCAGAGTCAACCCTGTATGTTATCTAGTCACTGTTGCAGCAGGGCAGCTGTACTAAGACTAGAATGATAGAGTTGTATAAATAGGCTACCACGGCAACTCAGTAAAGAGAGTTCAGATTTGCCATCTCATATACAGGGCTCCGGCCAACGCTGGTGTCTCTGCTGTGTGTGTATGCTCTGTTCTCCCTTCTTTTTCAAGCTCTAGCCATAGTGTGTGGGACGGACAACGCTTGTTCGTGGTCGGTACGGCTAGTGGGTGCTCGGCAACACTAGCGGGTGCTCGACAAGACCGGTGAGTGGGCAACTCACCTGAGCCGGTGATCCTGTGGGCCAACAGAGGCTAGCCGGCTGATTTGTACTCGAACGAATGGCGATGGGAGTAGTATACGAAGAGGCCGTAGTACTGCTGTATGTATACGAAGCCATCCTCTAGTTAATGGCCGCACTCCATCCTGTAGTTAATGCCCGTACTGGTAACGAAGAGACGAGGGCAAACTCGTCTAATCTGAGGCGCATGCAGTGGAATCGAACTGCCTTTTGAAAACGATCACCCTCAGAACGAACTCATTTCTGGGATGGAGGGATTAATATCTATATGCTCGATAATGTGGTGCTTCTATTGTAATCTGAGTTCACTTGTTTACGGATTGGAGCAAAGTGGGATCATACAACCTCTGGTGACTGCAATTCAGTTTGATGTTACGCCCCCCATTTCAGATTGTAAGTCGTTTTACCTGTTCTAGATACATAGTTTTTACTATGTATCTAGAACTCTGGACATAATGTATATCTAGGTGCAATGCAAAAATCATGTATCTAGAAAAGGCAAAACAACTTACACTTAGGAACGGAGGGAGTATAACTTAACTGTAACATGAGTCATACTGTTTGCGTACCAGTATCTGTGAGCTATAATACTTGTTATCTACTTCCTGAGGTATTTCCTCTATCTTTGATTCTATGGTGCAGGACATCAACTGGTGATATCACAAGTCTCAGACTAATCACTGCAGTGAAAACCCCTTATTTGCCAGATGGAAGATTCGATCTTGAATCATATGATTCTTTGATAAACATGCAGATAGAGGGTGGTTCTGAAGGTGTAATAGTTGGTGGAACGACAGGAGAGGGTCACCTAATGAGCTGGGATGAACACATTATGCTTATCGGGCATACTGTTAACTGCTTTGGCACTAGAATTAAAGTGATAGGCAACACAGGAAGTAATTCTACCAGAGAGGCTGTTCACGCAACAGAGCAGGGATTTGCTGTTGGCATGCATGCAGCTCTCCACATCAATCCTTACTATGGGAAGACCTCAACTGAAGGATTGATCTCTCATTTCGAGGCTGTTCTGCCGATGGGTCCAACCATCATTTACAATGTGCCATCCAGGAGTGGCCAGGATATTCCTCCTCAAGTTATTGATGCACTTTCAGGTTATTCAAACCTGGCAGGAGTGAAAGAATGTGTCGGACATGAGAGGGTCAAGTGCTACACTGACAAAGGTATAACAATATGGAGTGGTAATGATGATGAATGCCATGATTCTAGGTGGAAATATGGTGCCACTGGAGTTATTTCTGTAGCAAGCAACCTTGTTCCTGGTCTCATGCGTAGTCTCATGTATGAAGGGGGGAATGCATTGCTAAATGAGAAGCTGCTGCCTCTGATGAAATGGTTATTCTGCCAGCCGAATCCCATCGCACTCAACACTGCTCTGGCTCAGCTTGGGGTGGCAAGGCCTGTTTTCAGATTGCCGTATGTTCCTCTTCCTCTTGAGAAGAGGATTGAGTTTGTCCGGATTGTTGAAGCTATTGGACGGGGAAACTTTGTGGGACAGAAAGAGGCACGTGTTCTTGACGATGATGATTTTGTTTTGATCAGTAGGTATTAGTAAGCGAGCTTGATAGTCCTATGTATCTTGATGAATAAAACTAGCAGCGTGGTTTGAGGATTTTTCAGATTTTTGTAAAGAAATAAAACTACTGTCATGTTATGAATCCTGATTTGGCTTACAGTTTTCTGTGGATCTAGGTGGCCATTTCTTATGCGGAACCGGCCTAGATCCATTAATAAGAGATAAAGAGATGCATCGCATCACTTATTATTATGTTCTTCCTATACTTACAGAAAAATACATTTCTTCTGGCTAGTGTATATAATAATATCCTAATCCATCTGTATGACCCCAAGTCCTGGTAACGAGAGCGTCGTTTAACCATTCCTAGTCTGTTCTCTCCTCTTCCTCCTTGTCCGCGGAGTGGCTCTTGGTGATGGAGGACACGAGGGACAGGGGCGCCTGCTTGGCCCATCGCTTGATGTCGTGCACCCTCTTGCTGGCCCTCTTCCCCCTGCCATTCGGCTTCACCGCGCCGTTCTGCCGGTCCTTGGTGATGGCGATGGCCAGGTCGTTGGGGAAGAGCGATCGCCAGACGAGCGCGTGCAGGAGCGTCGACACGAGCAGCAGCGACACCATGGTCGACGACATGAGGGAGAGGCTCAGCGCGAGGGCCCTGCTCGCGAAGCACGGCACAGCCTCGGCGTACTTGACGGTGGCCAGCGACGCCGTGGTCATGGGGAACGTGTACGACCACCACGCGAGGGAGAACCTGCATGCGGTGACACATACGCGTCCACACAGGTAGCGGTCAGTTTGGTCGGCCGCGCCGACGATCGAGAAGTCGAACGGGAAGAGCTAGCTAGGACGACTCACCCGAACCCCCGGAAGAAGTTGATGCGCACGACGAGGGACAGGTACAGGAAGATGGCCATGAAGAAGAAGGTGCGTGCCACGGCGTCGAAGCTGCCGTAGATCGCGGCCCAGGCGAGGCTGGCGGCCGACGGCGTGGCGATGAACATGGAGTACACCGGGTGCAGCTCCATGGGCAGCGCCTCGTTGGTGGGCAGCCGCTGGTACAGCGTGACGAACACGACGATGTAGTGCGCGACCCCGATGGCCCACAGGAGCTTGCCGGCCTCCGCCCACCCGACCCTCGCCGCCAGTATGGCCCCGACGAAGTTGCCCACCACCGAGAGGTGGGACGACGGGTTGGCCACCTTGCACAGCCGCCGCTTGCCGCCGGACAGCCACTGCCCGTATATCTTGAGCTCCAGCGCGAAGAGCGGCAGGACGAAGGCGCACCACACGGCCGGGTGCAGCCGCTCGGGAGCGTAGGCGCGGGGCAGGCCGATGGTGACGAACATGGCCGCGATCCACGGCGCGAAGAAGAAGTTGACGCGGACCGGGTGGAAGTACTCGCGGCGGATGGCCTCGAAGTAGAAGACGCACTTGAGCACGTAGGTGACGGACGTCGCGACGAGCACGGCGACCGCCAGCAGCCATAGCGCGACGTTGATCATGGGCGTGACGTGCAGGAAGCGCATCGCCGGGCTCGCCGCCAGCGCGCCCCACAGGATGGCCTGGCTGCCGAGGCCCAGGCACACACCGAAGCAGCCGATCGGGAACCGCAGGAGGAACGGCCACACCTCGTCCTTGGGCAACAGGATGTCCTCGTAGTCCTAGAGAAACCATGTCCACGTTTCATTCAAGTGTCAGTCAGACGTGCATGCATACAGGATACATCGTGACACGAATGCTAAGAACGAAGAAAGAGACTACTTACGCGGACTTCGTCGAGCTCAGGGCCGCGGAGCGCGGCGAAGTAGCGGCCGGCGGGGACGCTCTTGTTGAGCGGATCCTCCACCGGCCTGCCGGCGGACTGATCCTCGACGTGCGTCGGCAGATCTAGGTCGGACTCCCTGATCCTCGTCGGCAGCAGCGAGTTCTGCTTGCTCAGCGTCGACTTGGTCCGGAACATGCTGAAGTCACCACCCCTGCGCGCGGCGCCGTCGCCGCCGGCCTGGCCCAGGCCGCCGCTATGGTTGAGCACCCCGAGGCTCCTACCACTGCGGGGGAGGGCGCGCTGGCCCCTTCCGCCACCGTTCCTCCCCCCTCTGTCCATGCCCAGCACCGTCACGCCGCTGCCGAGAGAGACCTGCCTGCTGAAGGCCCTCTGCATCGGCGGCGGCCTCCGGTCGCCCCGGACGTTGAGCGGCCCGCTCATTGCCATCTGCCTCGAGTCCTCGGGCGCGGCCGCGCTGATGTCCGCCGTTTGCTGCTGGCCCGTGGAAGAGGACGAATGATCGGCTGCCATTTCTGCAGCTAAGTGATGATCGAGGTGCGAGCACAAGCGCCGATCGAGTTATGTTATGTGCGGCGGCGCCAATATATGCTCGCTCGCGGCAGTATGTCAACATGACCGGTGCTTTCACGTGCACCGGCCGGCGCCACCGTGCATACGTGGAGAAGGCCGGGGCAAGGGCAGGCCATTGCTGTCCAAGTGGTTGGTCGATGGGGAGGAGATGGATCGCTGCTGGCCATGCCTTTTTGCTCCAAAGGAAGAAGCCAATGGCCAAGTCACGAGATGTGGAATCCATTGGCTGTGATCTGCTCCTACCGCGCGTAATTTTGGAATTTGGCTAACGTAGCACTTTCGTTTTTATTTGGTAATTAGTGTTCAATTATGGACTAATTAGACTCAAAACGTTCGTCTCGCAATTTCCAACCAAACTGTGCAATTAGTTTTGTTTTTCGTCTATATTTAATGCTCTATACACGTATCACAAAATTCGATGTGATAAATACTGTAGCACTTTTTGAGAATTTAGGTTCCGAAACACGCGCTTACTGTGATACACTGTATGCATAAGAGGCCGAGATTCGAGAGGAGCCGATGGCCTACTGCTGACTACCGGAGGTTGGCATTCAGCATTAAAAGGCTCACGGGCCTGTCGCCAGTTTGCCATGCAAGCGTCCTCGGTGGATTCCAGCCACAAGTACGCAAAGTCAGAGGCAGCAAAGGGAGGCTAGTAGGACAACTCAGCAATCCAGATGTACGTGGAATAGCGATTCCGCTTGGCTCAATAGAATGTGTTCCAATATGAAGCAAAAGCATTAACACGAATAAAAATGTATGTATTCTCGAACCTTTAAAGTTCAGAAGATGCCTGTTATTGATTATATGGGGTAAAATAGCATCAACCCATGAATCACGTCAAGGCCTGTTATTGCTTATGAGATAAAATAGCATCAAAATCATGAATCACGTCATGTGGTTTTCTTAATCATCTTGCAGCATTTCTGAATGAAGATGCATACATGTAGCGCTGCAATATTTGTAGTTGTATCGGTGGAATGGCACCTTGCCAGCCAAGGAAGCGAAACAGCACGAACACGAATTGTCATCTGGTACTGCCCTCTGTGCGGAGCAATTTGTTGCTGCTGCACCTGACGCGCCGGCTCCGGCAGATTGGGCAGCGAGAGCTGCAAGTCTTCTCTCTGCTGCAGCTGCTCTCTTCTCTCTTTCTTCAGCTTGTTTTCTCTGTCGTTCCTCCTGATTAAAAAGTTCAGCAACGAATAAATTTATAATCATGTGACATGTGTGTAGTTGGAAACTACTACTCAGCAATTTGCCAGGCGTGAAATCGTTCCTCTTTAGAACACATACCTCCTTTGCTATAAGTATTTGCTGTGGCGTCTGATGCTTTGGTTTAAGGCCTGGCACAGATGCAGTTCTGTTGGCCATTTGGCCGCTTGAAGTGCCTTTAACATCAGCTTGTGATTGTGATGCTTCAGCCTACAGTTCAATAGTACAAAATGGCATAAATAAGAAGGTAAATAGAAGTCATTGAAAGGCAATTTAATAACTAGTAAGCAGTAGTGCTTGCACTTCGCTAACCAATAAATAAAGAAAAATGTGGATTAGTGAACTAAGCACCACATTTTTTTGGGCAACCAGTGACACTAAACACCATTAAACTATGTACATCATTCATGAGCAACAAGGATAAATTGGATTTATACAACCAGATGCATTTGTAATTCTGAATTCAGTACTAACCTTAGCCTTCTCCTTTTCCTTCTCTTCCTTTTCTCTTGCTTTTTTTAATTTCTTCAATTCCTTTGCACGTGCTTTCCTTTTGGCATCCTTGTCTGCCTATAGTAACATACACAACCATGTTCGGTGCATTTACTTAATGAATTTTACAATGGAAAACTTATAAATTCACGAAACGAGGGCACAAAAAACACACTTGTTTCGCAGCTTGTGATTCTTCCATTTCTTTTGTTAGTGCACTAGGTACATCTGCGGCATGCCAATCCCATTTGTCGAGGTTGAGCGCCATAAATCTTCTGAATGTATTTCTAACTTCCTTATCTGAAGCCAGCGAATAAGGTGTCTTTCCTCTTGCATCTTTTATGCAAGGATCCAAACCCTGCTCAAGTAACTCCAGAGTCAGCTGAGCATTGCCAAACTTTGCTGCCTCATGAAGAGGTGTTATTTCGTTCTTAGATGATGGTATGGTTGCTGCTTCATTCTTATTCAACAATTCCAAACTGGCAGACAAGTCCGAAATAGATTCCTCAGGGTCTGCGGCCACTTCCTTCTTTTTTCCTTGACTTTGTTCAATATTTTTCACACTTCCAGCATCAGGTAAGGTTTCATCTGTGGTTGAACATTCCATCTCATAGTAGAGTTGTGTTAGGTTACAATATACCCGCTTAGCTTCCTTCAAGGTGGGACGATGGACAGTCAATGGAACTGGACGAATATCACAAGACTGAATTACTGACCGAGTCTTCTCCTCATCGAAGAGCATCTGGCGGTTCTTCGATGGAGCATAAATGAAGGAACAAACACATGTCTCAAAGTATGACTTCCATGAAACAATTAATTCTTGAACTTCCTGCAATAAGACAAACAAAAACGAAAGACACCTAAAAAAATAAGCCAATGGGACATTTACTTTTAATGAGCACATGAAAGTCAACAAGCACCAAATTCAACACCTTTTTGAGTGCTGCTTCATTATAGCGCCGTAGAGAAGAGCCTGCTGAGTGTGCAACTTTTCCAGTAGCATCTTTTCCAGATTGCCTCTTCCCAGCCTTTGCTCTTACGACATACCTAAAGAAATACATGGGCAAATAAGAACAATTTGTCACTAACATGGAAACAAAGTATTGCCAGTAAAAGGTACAGGCAACAAAGCAGTCAATCTAGCCAGCCGCAAAGTTAAAACTATGCCCATCAGCAAAGGAAATATGTTACGGAACACAAAAGAGGAAGTAGGAAGTCATTTCTGTTGATAGCAAGATTCGCAGCTATATTTACATTGAACACAGGAAAGTAGAAGCTTTCTGCAGCACTCAAAAGACTCATTTTTACTGGTTGCGTACTGCTAGCACATAATAGAACGCTGCTGTCACCTGAGATTCCAAGGATATCAAGTAATAATGCAATATGCCTCACAAGTTCTTATGCGTAAAAGTTGAAACTGGCAATGTTGTTACCTATGAAATGTTTTATGAGCTACAATGGAATTTCCATCAAAAACGCACCCAGCAAAATGTCCACCGCTTGTTAGTATAACAATTCTCAAATGTGACACGTCACGAGGTTCACAAGTCAAACGCTTCACCCTATTTATCATCTCCTCCTCCGGTACACAAGATGCATTATCCATCTGACCAGACTTACAATCAATTAATGGTTCTTCATGTTCTTTCAACAGCATGCATCTATAGATAGAAATCGTGTCACCCGATGCACGGCGAAAGTAAAGTTTCTTCCTGAATTCTTCCTTGCCTTTAACTGAGAGTACACGTTCTGATGCAGGTCCATTTTCTTGTTCGTCCTCTGAACCAGAGACACTAGATATCTCCAAATCATCAAACAGAGAATCAGAATCTGCTTTGTCTAGGTCCTCTTCCGTTATAATAGTTTTACCAGCAATGCTCAACTTAACCTAATAGAATGCCAAAAAAAGATGCAAGAGGATCAATGAGATGAGACATAAGTATGATATACTTGGTACATTATGAAGGATATTTTGCAGAGAACCAAATTGGACCATATGGAAATAAAACAAGAGAACAGTTACTCATTTTCATCCAAAGCTCTATGCAAGAATATAACTGGTTATTTTCTAAGTATGTAAAAACTGGCAACTAGAAAAAATGCATAATCTTCCAGCAGCACAGTACAGTCCAATGCAACAATTCTAATCTCTAATCTGACAACGAGTTATGTTCAGGTGCTTGAATGTATGGTTTAGGAGCTTCAGTACAATGGCAACGAGTTATGTTCAGTTTTTGGGACATGATTAAGCTCTTCCAAGGCGTATCTATATGATGTGATCAACATAAGAGACTCAATTAGTAATAAGCCTCCATAAATTGTTTCTCTCCATTCTCCAATAAGTAATCAAGGGACTCAAGTATTCTACCTACATGCAAACATTTGATAATTGAGCATTCCATCTTCTAAATAATTCCAGCTATGATCAGCGCTGGCTGCTAAAGAAAAAGTTACGCGGAGCCCTTAAGACTGTATCAATCAATACGGTAAAGTACATACATTCCAAAAAATCAATCAGAAGTAGTCAAGTGAAGAGAAAGGGCACATATAGATACGTTGAGGCGGTGCAGGTCGGATTTGAAGTGCTCGCGCTGCTCCTGTAGCGACTCGAACTCGGCGGCACAGGTGTTGCACGTCCACCTGGACCCCGCAGCCTCTGAAAGTTGCTGCTGCTGCTGAGTCGGCGGCGGTTGGGAGCGTTCGGACGGTTCCACCGCGAAGGGGGCCGTGGAGGGGTGAGCCCGGAGGAGGACGGATGAATCGAAGAAGTCAGAGGGGAGTTCGAAGAGCGAGCGAGGGGGCCTCTTCTCTGGCGGCGGCGCCGCCATCTAGGTGGTGGAGGAACCGGCGGCGGGGAGAGGAGGGCGTGGATCCGATGTTCCGGACTTCCGGGTGGCGTGCGGTTCGTGAGTTTCTTTTGTGAGTTGTGACTACTGACTAGGAGACGGCGGGTCCGCGTCGGTCATCCAAAGGCTGCACAGCACCGTTTAGATTAGGGCCTTTGTTTAGATCGTAAATTTTTGCAAACTGGATACTGTAGCACGTTTTTGTTGGTATTTGACAAACTTTGTCTGATCATGGACTAACTAGGCTCAAAAGATCCATCTTGTGATTTACAACCAAACTGTATAATTAGTTATTTTTTTATCTACATTTAATGCTCCATGCATGTGTCCAAAAATTAATGTGATGGAGAGAGAGTGAAAAAACTTGAAATTTAGAGGTGATCTAAACAAGGCATAGGGGGAATTCCATGTCCGCCATTATAAAAGATCGCAATACCCCGTGTGTCACTGGACAAATTTAGCGGTGTTCAACGTCACTACTCCAACTTTTTCGTATCCTCTATGTCCCTTTCGTCAGTTTGAACTCTAACGCCGTCAAACTGCAGGTGTGAAAAGACGAAAATACCCTTAAGTCTAAATATGTTATTAATTTTTTTTAGCATCTTAACGACTTCAAATGAAAAAACTCAAAACTAGAAAGTTGTAGATCTCGTCAAGATCTATAATTTTTATATAAAATTATTTTCATTTAATTCCGTAAAAAAAATATGATTTTATATGATTAATATTTCTTAGAAAAATTATTTTTTTACGGAATTAAATGAAAATAATTTTTATATAAAAATTATAGATCTCGACGAGATCTACAACTTTCTAGTTTTGAGTTTTTTTATTTGAAGTCGTTAAGATGCTCAAAAAAAATTAATAACATATTTAGACTTAAGGGTATTTTCGTCTTTTCACACCTGCAGTTTGACGGCGTTAGAACCCAAACTGACGGAAATGGGATGGAGGACACGAAAAAGTTAAAGTAGTGACGCTGAAGACCGCTGAATTTTTTCAGAAATACACAGGGCATTACGATCTTTTATAATGGCACACGGAGAATTCCTCCTTAGATCAGTGATCGATGCTCGGCCAGGTTTTAAACTCAAACAACCTCACATGTTTTCTTCTGCCATCTAGACATCTAGTTCTACATCTACTAGCAAATGGTACCTATTTAGTTCGACAAATATATAGCATGTTCGCTTGGTCGTATTTGGCTTATAAGTTATGGCTTATCGGTCAACGAATAATTTTTTTTTTCTCATATCGAATCAGCCAAGAGTACTTTCAGTCATGGCTTATAAGCTAATCAAGCCCAAACGAACAGGGCGTATAATGTTTTATGTAAAATTAATTAAGTCAGACTTATAACATACTTTAATAGAGCACTGTTCTACAGCTACTTTTTTTTTAACAGAGGAAGTACTTACCTCGTTGCATAGTCATCATGATTTGCATCTCATAGATTTTATTCAACAATTGTGCCATATGTTCTACTTTTTAAAATTGAACTCCGTATTGTCGATGAATGTGTTTTAGAATTGACTCCATCGTTTGACGCTCATTATTCTAACGCATATAAAGACAGTCTATTGTTCTAACTCATACTAAGATGGATTGTGAATAGTAAGAGCACTTGCAAAAGAAATAGGACAAAAGAATCAGTTCACTCTTTAATACTCTCTCCATCCAAATTATAAAGTCGTTTTTTGTCATTTTTTATACACATATGTATCTAGATACATAGCAAAAGCAATGTACCTAGAAAAGCTAAAAAAAACTATAATTTAGAAATAGAGAGAGTCTTAGTTATAAATTTGACTTTTTTTTGTTTTTATTACCTATTTGTTTTTTCTCTTTTGTCTCATTGCTTCCATTTTCAAATGTCCCCACATCATCCTCAATGTTTTTAAATCTCTTGCTACGTTATTTAGTAGATGGCCTCTAAAAACACTTAGTAGCTTGACCTATCTACTGCTATAATTGGAGATTTAAAAACCTTAATCGTGCTTCCATCCAACAACTTTTTTCTAGAACAATTCCATTATGAACCTAGAACATCTTTTAGTTTAAGCTATGATTTTTTCCCTTATGAGGCTATATTTTTTTTTATCAAAACATAGTATTCAATATTTTATAAATTAGCTTGGCCTTTTTGTTTCCTATGATAACGATGAAATTTTCAATTATAACTATTTCGTATAGAATATTTATTCTCTCTTACCTGTTTTTTAGAAAAAAAAAGATTCAGACTATTAGTGTGGCATGTACATTGAAAGTGAATGAAAGATGATAAATATGTAACTACTATGCTGCTTTCAAAATACTAGTTACTTGGAAATGAGAATTCTTTGGTTATGTAAATAGAATTGTTTAGTTGTTCCGATCTAAAAGCTCACATAAAGTTAGAATGTAGTTTAAAAGAAAGATAGGAAACAGAATATAGGGGTGGGCCTAATTTTCCGACAAGCAAAATACCCGAGACAAGAACTGAGAATTTTGATCACTAATTCGGTTCCTCCTTCTAAGTATCCAAATTTGGTACGGTTAGTTTTGTTTTAACTCTTAGTTATTGAAAAAATAAAGTATAGAAAAAGCCATATAAGGTTGTTAACTTGTACTATGTGTGTAGCCTAATAGCTAACCAACCTTAGGCCCTACACAACGTCATAGCGGTGCCCAAAAATCACCAGATCTTTCTGGCACCACTCTTGAAGGCTCACAGCGGTAGCAAACTCCAAGCATCACTTATGGGACCCGCCAAAAATTAAACAAATAAAAAAAAACAGGCAGCACAGATCACCTGTCTCACGAACCGCAACATTTAATGAACTGGCATCGGTGGGCATCGGTTGCTCTGCTTGCTCCGCTCCCTGTTTTCCTGGCATCATTGAGAGTTGGCATCACTTGTTGCAACTGAGAGAGTGGTGCCAGAATCATCTCTATTGTTTTGGCCATCACTTAGGCACAACACCGTGGAGGGCCTTAGGCTAGCCCAAGAGTCCAGAGAATAAATGCATATCTTACAACAAAACTCTAACACCCTCCCTTACCCGTCCCCCTCTGCGAAGTATGAGCCACCAGCTGACACTCCTGATTCGGTGACACACCGATGCCACACTTCAATAGAGCACAGCGGCAGAAGGTGGCACCTCCCCTCCTCTCAAATCAACAACATCTAGGCACATGTAAATGATGTGAGCGAATGATGGTCTCTCCTTCTCCATGAATCGAGGTCGAGCCTCGCGTCCACTCCACCCAACCACACTAGCACACCTCACGGGCCCATCCCCTCCCAATTGTAGAATTCTAAAATTATAGGATGCATATTCTTAAAACATTCTAATTGATGTCCAAATGTGTTTCAATAACGTCCCATGACAAAATTATGAGATGCAACCAACAAGAAGGCATCATAAATTTTTATACATAATGCATTCATGCTAGCTCCATCTCATTTTTTATTGTTAAAAGCTTCTTAGAATGTGCTAATAACTTAATATATTATTTTGAATTTCTCGGCAAAATTTCATCTTTTACATTTTCCCTTTTAGGAAGAGCTAAATGCAATTTTTAGAACATTTGAGGGACACTTTCACGAGCTCTCAATATTTTATTTGGGTTATTTTATCTAAATCTATCCCTATACTTTTTCTTGAATTTTTTAGAAGCTTAGAGATATGTTTGTTATTTAAAGATCTTATTAGTTCTTCACTAGATTTTTTTTCTCTCTAAAATTTTAAAAAGGATAAAACCACCTTGAAAATCACTTCTAATCCAAGCAGGATGTAATTTAATAGTTTTTATAGATGAATAAGACGTCCGATCTGATTTTAAAATATGATGAGGAGCAAAATCAGAACGAGATGATAGCTTACTTCCTCCGTTCCTAAAGTCTCCAGCGTATTTGCGTTCGGCACAGTGACCAAGATGAAGCAAAGGAGCGCCGATTTGCTTTTAATCACCGCAGTCTTCTTAATGCCGCGGCGTCCGTTCGTTTGCCCGATATGCTGCTGAAAACGCCGTTAACCCGCTCACAACGGCGCGCTCACGTACGTATCCCCGCGCGGCCGCGCTCAAGTAATTTCGCGTGCTCACGTACGTACCCCTGCGTGGCCGTGTTTTTTCGTTTGATTTTCCATTACAACAAATTTTAGCCGCCAATGCATCAAAAATTCATTGCCCACCACTCCTTTGGTTCAATTTTGCCATGGCCTATATAAATCCCCATGGACGATCGCGATCCCCAGATAATTTCATCGAACTCTCCCTCTCGCTTCTCTCTTTCTCTGCCTCATTCATGCTAGAGAGCCAAAGCAATGCCTGGATTAGGGATCGATTTAAACCTACAGCCACCCGAATCAGGCCAAATCTATCCCATAGATTGGGATGACATTACAGAGTTTGATGGCCCTGCTCATGAACTCGATTATGACATGGTGTGGGACGATGGAACAGAAGGTGCTCTTCACTCATTTTTTCTGTTTTGCCATGTCCTCCTGGTTATGGTTTCATTCTTCCTTTTTTTCGTGCCATAGATGACGAAGATGGAGCAGATGTAGTGCAAGGTGATGGTGCAGCCTATGGAGTTCATGTTTCTTCAGACGCAGCAACAGCTGGCGTTCAGGTTCCTTCGGTGCAAGGACATGCAGCAGCATCTGATGATTAGTTTAAGCTTCTTTTCCTTTCAGTGTATGAGTGTCCAGTTCATTTCAGTTTAGATGTTGCTTCACAGAATAGTCCAGTAGAGTTCAGTTCAGTAGAATTTTTGGTTCAGTTCAGTGGAGTTTTTTTGTTCAATTCAGTAGAGTTTTTTGGTTCAGTTCAGAGATCATTTAGATTGCTTTTTGGTTCAGAGATCATTTAGATGCCTTTTTGCTTCAGTTCAGTAGAGTTTCACTGCAGGTGCATCAACAAATGGAGGTGATGCCGATGGTCTGCAAGGTGCATCAACAAATGTAGGTGATGTTTTAGGTTAGTTTGTTGTCGGACAG